TCACTGCGGAACATGCGACGCTCATTGAAAAGTAACTCTTTACAAGTGCATCAGAGAGCCTTCCTGCGCTCTTTGACACACGATTTGTGCCCTCAATACCCCTCCAAATCCCGGGAACCCGCCGGAACTTGTCAAACAAGGGAAGCGAAGTAGATACGCAGTCGAGCTATTTGTGACATATGTACATTCCAGAACGTGCGCGGTATTTCACGCTTGCTTTGAAATGTCAATTCTTGGGTATGTCTTATCCCTCATTTGGCGGGTTGCTACGGGTTTGAGCGGGTTCGAATGGGTACTGGCGGGTACCGACGCGGTACAGCCTAAAAGTTGTGCTCTCAACGTCGGTAGCACTGGCAATGCCGGCAAACTCCATAAACTTTAGACGGTTCTGGGGCGTGCTTTAAAAGGAGACAATCTCAAAGTCACTATTTGTTTGCCAAGGTGAGAGCGTTCCTAGTTGACCTGCTTTCGTATAGGCGTGTTGAGCGTTTTTTTTTTGACTATTAGGTTTATATTATTGTTTCGCATGTTACTCGATCGCGATGCTTCCTCCAAACGAAATTCTCTCTTGATCACAACCCAATTCCCTACCCCCCGCCCTCTCCTCAGCCATACGATCTTCCAAGTTTGGCATGCCTGATCCCACACCTCAAACCTGATCTCCATTGCTCAAGGCATCGATGACAGTTGCTCTCAGCCGAGTCGAAAGCCTTCTCAAGGGCAGTGTCTCGGCAGAATTTCGTTTTTCAGTTTATCGTATTTTCGGGGCCTTCTCGCCACGAGGAACCCATATTTGGGCTTTTAAGCGCATAAAAATAACGAAAATGAGCCTTTTTCGAAGCTTTCCAGATCCGCATACAGCGGAAATGCCCCGGAAGTCTTCCGCGCCCCGGCCTCTTCGTTTCATCCACGCACTTACACGCATTCTCTACTGAATGCAAAACTGAAAACCTTCGAAAAAGGCTTATTTTTGCCATTTTCATGCGCAGCCCAGATATGGGTTCCTCATGGCGAGAAAGCCCCGGAAATGTGAAACTGGAAAATGAAATTCTGCCGGGACACTGCCTTTGAAACAGGTAAAGATGAGACAAAGTGGTACCCTTCTCGCAATACTTCGATAAGCTTCAAAGCCAGCGTACGTATTCCACCGTGCAGAATCCTCTTCAAAATCAGCTGGTTGTGAACAAGGCGAGCCTTCATTGTCTTGGCTCCTTGTCAAGCACCGCGTGAAAAGCTTGTTCCCTCTCGTTTTCAGGCATTGTGCCAAAACATATTAATGAGGGTGTAGGTTTTGAACAAGTTCTCAGCAAGTTGAAAATTTTACTTCACAGGCATGAACTCGATGCAAAATCCGTAGATGGATGTCAAATAAAAGCGGAGATTCAGACAGAGGTCACAAACTGCATGTAAGAAAATCGTTAAAAATGAAGAAGGAAAACCGGTTTGCATATGAAGTTAGATGTGCTAATCATTACAAAAGAAGCTTCTTTTTCTTCTTCGGCTGCGGTGCTGGTACCGCATTCACCATCCATGAAGGAATCTTGGCTGTCTGAGAGGAGTCATCTTGCGCTGATGCTTCATTGCTTACACTAGTCACTGTAAACAAAGATTGTTTTTTCAGTGGCTTATCTGACATTTCACTAAATAAGTGCCTTCCTGTTTCAGCATAGTTTTGAAGCGCTGAAAAAGAGAATAAAACAACCCCATGCTCAAGTTTGAGGTCACGTTCTATACGTGACAGTCCAGAACATTTTCTGAAGAAGAGTGAAGTGCGACAGGAAAAGTTCTGAGTGGAAGATCAGTTAGCCACACCCTCCGAAAAAACTTTTGAGATGCTTCAAAGAATTTTGCGAAAGCATCACCCCGAAATTCTAAAAATAGGGGAAACGGCAGGTATGGTCCACAAAATTTCGTACAAAACTATTTCAAACTTTTAAAAAATTCCAAAAATGTATTTAGATTACATAGGTGTGAAGGAGCCGCAGGTCTAGATAGGCTACATTGACTTGAGCGTCAAATTTCAAGAAGATTGAACATCTGCCGCTCCGCCTCCCCCCTTTCGATTGGCGACTAGATATGCAGTATCCCAAAAAATGTATCGAATGTTTCATCTTCACTTCCTTACATGGAAAGCTTTCGCGGATCTC